GAGGGGCGTACTTTTCCAGCTTACAAGCTAGGGCTTTGCAAAATGCCAGGGTCCTGTTCTCAAAGGAGACCGTGACGTCGACGAGGATGATCTTTTTCTGGGCCTTGTTGGTGACAATGACATCAGGTCATAGCTGGCTGTCGGTACCGGGGATGGCGCAGTTCACGGAGATCTCCCCCAGGCGTGGTGTGATGGCTTTCACCAGGCGGTTCTGGATGGCGTTGGTACTACCTGGAGGTCTAACCCTACCAAGACTGAGCAGACCAAAAATGCAGAGGGTGAAAGGTTCACATGCACACAGTGGAGAGTTCCAGGGACACTGCCCGGTGAGAAGACCAGCTCCATGTCCTCTTTTCACTCAGGAGAGGGATAACAAAGTTTTGTCCCCAACTTGGAGTCTCCATTTTGTATCAGCCTTCCTTCAGTATATCTAATACATCTGAAGCCCAATCACCCACACTGCTGTAAGGGAAAAGATATGCAGTGTTGTAGCCATGTTGTTCCAAAGATATTAGAAAGACAAGATGAGGTAGTATCTTTTTCTGGACCAACTTCTGCTGGTGAGAGACAAGCTTTTGAGCTTACACAGAGCTCTTCTTCAGATAAGAGACAAGGAGCTTCTCTCTTTCCCCCCCCAACCTCCAGAATCTGCCTGATGGTGGAGTTGGCAGGCCTTCATTACTCTACATGTTGCCTGATTCCTGGTTGGTGTGGCAACGGAGAGGAGGTGGGGTGGAGGCTCTATTATTCTTCCAATCATCCTGCCTTTGTTTATTGGTTACTTCTTCCTCTAATAGCTTTGCCAAGTGCAGCAGCTTGAAACGGGCCTGATTCCTGACCATTTCACTGTTGCCTGTAGGTTTGGAATAGAAATACTGAAATTGACTCGTGTTTTGAAGCTTGGCAGATCTAGGAACAACAGCACAAGCACTTAGGCTGTCTTCTCTACAGACTCTGGAGAGTCTTGTTATACATTTTGTTAACATTGAAAACTTGTCTTCATAACCATAAAAGGTCTAGAAACAATTTTTGGGGAAAGGAAAACTTGGAAAGAACCCATTTGAAACAGGATTAGACAGGGAATTACAAGTATACTTTAGAGAACAATCTACATAAATTTCACCTGCATAATAGTAAAACTGTACACATATATGGCTAAGTTAATCCAATGGTCTCAAACCACTATCCAATGATATTAGCTCCATTTTGAAAATGGGGAAACGGAGACACATGTCCATGGTCCCACAGCAAACTATTAGCAAAGTAAGAAATAGAATTCTTACTTCTCAATTTCTAGTTGCTCTAACCATTATGTCCCAATAGTTCTTTCCCATCTCTAATGTATACAATTAGGAAAATTGAAGTGATCCTTTCCAGATCTCAGAGGAAACTAAACTTGCTTTGCCCACTCAAATTTCTGCTGGTAAGTATTTTGCTTAGGATGCACTGGTACCAAGTATCAGAGGGGTAGCCATGTTAGTCTGGATCTGTAAAAAGCAACAGAGTGTCCTGTGGCACCTTTAAAACTAACAGATGTATTGGAGCATAAGCTTTCGTGAGTGAATGCCCACTTCGTCGGATGCATTCATCCACGAAAGCTTATGCTCCAATACATCTGTTAGTCTTAAAGGTGCCACAGGACTCTCTGTTGCTTTTTACTGGTACCAAGTGTTACAGCAGCACACCAATAGCCTAAGGTTGCTGAGGGAGTGGGTAACCTTCCTCAATAGATGAAAACAAGAGAAGATAGTAAGAATTCTGTGTGTCTAGACACAAAATTACTAAAATTGACAGTTATGACCTTTTCCAAGCCAGCTAAATTGGTGGTGGTGGCTTACAACTGTTTGTGCATGTTTGGAGCTTTATTACAATACAATAACTTGACAAATTATCCAATCTTCAATCTTCAAAATTATGTCAGTTTCTGTCAATTTGTGGGTGAATGGGAAGTCTTGAGGTAACTAAACTATACTCAGTTATTTGTTTTAGCTTTATTTTATTATTATTTTTACTAAGGATTTTTTTTATAATAATTCTGTTCCCAAAGTACTCTTACTTCAGCCTTTTAGCATTAACATACAGTTTTTTAGCTGACTGGCTTTACAGTATTCACATATGATATGTAGGTCAAATCTGAATAAAACCCCCAAATGTATTAGTTATCTCAATTTAAATTTATTTTAACTTTATTGATAATTTTTCACCAGGGAGACTTGAATCTTATGGTTAAAATACACTTGAAACCAATTAGGAACCATAGGACTGCATTCTAGCATAAAGAACAAAAGCACTTGACAGTTCTAAGATTAAGCACAATCATTTGGTTTAAAACAGAAATATTTTTACCTTATTTTTTTAAAAGGTTGTGTACATCTTAAAAAAAAAAAAGGGTAATATGGGAAATGACACAATGCTTCTTAAAACATAGTGATACCCAGGGACCCTCACTCTCCCTTTAATGATCCACTGCTCTCATTCAGCTGTCTTTCTTTTTTCAAATCTTTACATATGTGACAGCTCTCAAAAGTAGACCATAGACCATCTGGCATTTTCAGAGGTGTAACTTGTGCAAATTCAGCTCTACTGGGAACACAATGCTATCTTCTGCCTGCGTTATAAAAGATACAATAGAATGTAGAACTTATGAGTTGTTTTGAATTATTCATTTTTTGCCTGTATATTCAAGAAATTTTACAAACTCTGCATTTTGTACTACATAATCACATGCGTTAAAGGTACAAAGAAACTTTTTGACACCTCTTTTCTACAGAAAGATGGCATTTTGTTTGATATGTGAACATTCAGCGTCTGTTATATCATTCTAAACAGGCCGCGTGCTGCTACAAAAGACCTCATTTTACACTCTATGTATGAGCAAAAATTTTATTCTTGATATTCAGTAACTAATGCAATACACATCAAAATTTCAAATACCAGGTGTATGAACATTCAGTATCTTAAAACCAGAATGGCACTGGTCACCTACTATATGTTAAAGACATTGGGGGGGGGGAGGAGAAAAACTCTCCTTGCACAACACAGAAATATTGTAATTTTAAATATCCTCAATGAATAGTTTCAAATGTCCTAAGAAATACTATGCTTTTTAGGTTAAAATGTTTTCAATGTATAGCAAAACCAGTAAATTTAGATCAATATTTTATACAGTGCTAACGCTAGTGAATTTTCAATAAGAATGATAAATACTGGATTAATGATTCAATAGAGTGAATCTCTTGATAGAAAGCTAGCCGATAATGTAGCTAGCAATAACTATACATGAATCTGCTGCCTGTGGAAAAGCAATAAAAAGGCAATATATTGCTATAACATATAATCTATTAGCCTGTTTCACTGCTGCCCTGTCATGAGTCTCTTTACAAAGTGGGCCTTAATACAGTAACTGCTGTTATTTAACCAACTTTATATAATAATTTAATTGTAAGGTGAGTAAATGGTAAAGTATTCCAGTATTTGAACATTTACTATGCTTTTGATAATTGTGAAGTGATTATTTGCATTCTTATTCCGATTCTGAATGCAAGCCAGTTGTCAAGGTCACAAAAAAGGCTTACTTGAATATACATATAAACACATACCCCTATACACATAAAGAATATGACTTTTTTAATGATTTGGATAGATTTAGAAAACTATAAATATGCATTTACTGTACCTGTGACTAAACCTTTACTCATCTAAAGAGAAAAATATATGCAAACATGGGGAAATTCCCTTTTTTAGCATAAAAAGATATGTGTAAAGACATTTGGGATTTTACACAAACTCTTTAACTAATATAAATGTAGAGTACACAAAATTCCTCAGAGCTGAAGGGAGTCAAATGACAACAACATCAGGAGGAAGAAAACCTGAGACCGCTCATTAGCAGCCTACTTACATTTCAAAACAACTCTAAGGCTGACAACACAATGTGGAGTTTACCAAGCAGCCCATCTAAGGAAAAGTGTCCTCCAGTTTATTACCTGAATCATCGGATTATTATCCAGAAAGAAGATCCAACACTATGTGGTGATTCAGGACATGGCATCACAATACTCATTAGAGCAACATTTTTGAAATAATGTAAAAAAATGTAACTTGGATACACTGAGAAAATATGAAGGACTATTGCAATTTAAAAATGTACTTGTCACTTGTTTTTGTTTTTTCTCCCTATTTTAAATACAGCAAGTGGAGTAATCATCTTTTAGGAGATAGGAAGGTCCTGCTTTGGTCCAGTAACAGCAAAGGACTGGCTCTCCACTGCTTTGTATGGTAACTGTTTACACCCACTGTGCACAGGCTAAAATGATGAGACAAACAGCAAAGCAGTGAAAAGTCAGACTCCTAGTTTCTAGCCTGCTCATCTTCATGACACAAATCTTGTCTTGAGAAAAAACACATTGCAACTAACCATGGGTTATTAAAAAATAAAAAAAAAAAAGACCCACAACTGTAATTGTCTCTATTTAAAGTAGGGTGACCAGATGTCCCGATTTTATAGGGACAGTCCCGATATTTGGGGGGTTTTCTTACATGGGTGCCTATTACCCCCCACTCTGTCCCGATTTTTCACACTTGCTATCTGGTCACCCTAATTTAAAGTAAAACTAAGATGACTATACAACTGCTTCTAAGAAAATCCTGATGTAAAAGGCAACATTTCAAAATGATTGTTGCACAAAAGCTTATATTTTAAAAATTACAAATTGAGTGTGTTCATACCTTCCATGAACATATCATTTTAGTAAAGCTTGTAGGACTCAAAGACCTCAGTAGTTTCCCCTCCTTCTTCCCCCCTCCCTTTCAAACTAAAATCCTGACTAGCCTCTACATGAATCTTCAAACTACATCAATAGGTAGCTCTGCATAGCTATCTAGAATATTAACATTCAGATTACAAGATGAACCCTTTGAGTCAACCTGTGAAGTGGCTTTTGTCAGCAATTATTTTTGAATATTTTCTAGGAAATAAATAGCATATACTGCACCTTCTGTATCAAAGAAAGCATACATTAACTAAATAATAAGGTACCATCAAGGTACAATCTATCTTTTAAAATCAATTTTTCACACTGAATTTTTTATACCATACTGACTTTAGAAGGAAAACAAAGTACCAACTAACAGCATCAACCATTTTTTTTAGAAATGTCTTCATGTTTTACAAGAAGCATCTTCAAAATGAATACAATATATTACTATGAAACAGGATTTCTTTGTAAAGAAAATACTTCAGTGAAATTGCTGGTAGAAGTTTTACAAGACCCACACTGAGAACAGTTTGTTAGAATGTGTCAGAAAACACATCCACAGAACACCAAACATAATAGGAGTGGAAAAATAAATTTTATAACATCAGTTTTCAACCTAGGGAGAGGGAGACGAGCCTTTGGCAATTGTGTGCAAATTTGAGAGGTGAAAAGGTGTCAAAAAGCTGTTCCCATCAAGCTGGATAAAATATTTAAAAAAATAATTTAAAAATCAAATTTTATTTACATTAAGTACATTTTTCTTTTTAAAAATAAACCCACTTACAATTAAATCTGAAATTGACAACCTATGTTAAGACCTAAGCTTATTAGAATCTATGACAATAATTTAAATTAAATATAAAAAACAATATCAAGCAGTACAAGTACTCGCTGGGTACTTGACATTTTAAAGAAAGTCAAACCACTGAATTGGTAGAAGTCACTTGCTAACCATCCAGAATCAGAGTCTGTTGAAGTGCTAAACTAGCTTTTGACAGAAGTATTCTCTTCTGTAGGTGCAGGGAGAACATTAACTGCAGTTCAGTTCATTCAACTAGTTCAGTTCAATGACTAGCTCATTCAAAGTTGAGAAACCAACAGAGTTGGGCTTGTTTTCCTCTTCCAATCTATGAATCAAAACTAGGTGTGAGAGGATGAGATCTACTAGTTCTGAAGTCTTAATGGACATGGTGACCATTCAATTTACTAACTATAGATAATGCTTCCTTTGTTTAATAAATCAGTTTGTTTTATATGCAAAACATGTCTTAATAAAAACTTGATTTTTCCCTTATATATCTAGCACATTTAAGGTAGTTTCATTTAGCTAATGAAAACAAATTTAAAAAACTGTTTTGTGCATTTTAATTGAATTCAAATTTCCATCCAAATGCAGTCTGACCCAAATCATGAGTAAAAAAAACAAAAAAATCTAGTAAATAAGAAATGTGCTAGTCACCATTTTCTAACATAATAAAAACCATAAAAATTAAGAATCTGAATAAATGTGTGTTAAAATATCCAATTGATTAAATAAATGTGTATTGATACAGGGTAATACCAAGTTATTCCAATCATTATCTTTCTTAAGAGCTATAACTAAAAAGTGCAAATGTAAAACAAGACTAAAATTGACAATTTAAATCCAGGTTTCCTGGTTGCTGATTTAAATCATGATTAAAATCAATTATTTAAATCATTTTGAAATCGATCTGCCCTGGTTCCCATCCCATTTCCAACCTTTTGTGGAACTTCATTTCCTCAATCACTTGCAACCAGTTCTTCAGATGCCAGAGGTATTCTCAAATATGTGTATGCATGCCTATAGCACTTCCTCTGGAAGTACAGCAGGATCCTGCACCTCTTTTGAAGGGCAGCAGGAACTTGTTCAAATGATTCTTTGATATATCCAAAAGAAAGCCGTTATAAATTCCATGGAAAAGGTTGAGAACTACAAATTCATACAGTTGACCAGCATTCCCACTGAAATAATGTTAAATATTCCATTTATTAATCCTCTTTCTTCAAATGGAGTTTCAAATGTTGAAGGAGTCACCATCTAAGAAATGCCTATTCAATTTTTTCATTAAAAATTAGAAGTTATTAACTTTTGCTGAATTATTCTATTCAATTTTTAAAAAATTGTCCATGTCTTAATATTCTAACATTAGGATATTTTCCTGCCCTTTCATTACCTTCAACTGGCCAAGAGGTTTCTCGTTCCTTCTCAAATGCTAATCATGCCACCATCATCCACATTTGTGTGGTGTTTAGGCTAAACCACACTATGCTGCTACCTGGGATTAACTTTAAAGGCAACTTGGAAGCTCTCAACAGAGCATAAAGTAGCTAGCAACCTCCAGCGCAGCGAAGACCTTTGAAGACATAGTGCATCTCTGGTTTGCACACAGCAACTGTCAATCCATTTATAGACACACACACACACGGTTGCTACAAGGCCCTAAATGGCCAGGCCTCAAGTTATTTACAGTAAGAAACTAGCTTTCCCTCTCTGAGCCACAATACGATAGTTTGTCAGGAAAACCAGACAAAGCCAGAACAGTCTAGGAAGAAATGTGCTCACTTCTGGAATTTGCACTGATCCCCCTCCCACCCTCTGAACCCCTCGATCCCACCCCAGAGCCCGCACCCCCAGCCAGAGCCCTCACCACCCCCATGCCCCAACCCCCTGCCCCAGCCCTGATCCCCCTCCCGCCCTCCAAACCCCTCGGTCCCAGCCTGGAGCTCCCTTCTGCACCCCAAACCCTTCATCCCCAGCCCAACCCCAGAGCCCTCACCCCCTGCATCCCAACCCAGAGCTCCCTCCAGCACCCTGAACTCTTCATTTCTG